CCCGGGGGGCAGGTGAAAGGAGTACACAGCGCTCCTGGGCTGCATGGAGCCAGTTACAGGTTTATTCCTGCTGAAAAGAGAAGACAGAAAACACAACGTTTCGTCTGTGAGAAAGACAGGGCGCTCAGCGAGCTGATGGCCTGGGAAAGAGGAGGAGGCAGGAGCAGTGAGGAGAGGGGTGAAACGGGCAGAGAGGACAGGAAGACGGGTCTGTCCCTGAGAGGAGGAGGTGTGGACCAACTTCCAGGATCGTCTCTCTGCTGGGGGCAGCAGACGGGGATGGGTGTGATCGTGGCGTCGGAGTGGAAGGAGAGGCTCTGGGCTTGGAGAGATCTTCATCGTCACAGCCCTGACGTGTCTCCGAAGCGCTCTCCCCGGTGCAGACAGGCTCCCGGCAGCAGAGGGCAGCGTCGGCACGCGGCGCTGCTCTCCTCCTGCAGCCAGGCCCTCCCCTCGCGGGAGAGCGAGCGAGCGAGCGAGCAGGGATAGCAGCCGCGCGCGCTCAGCTGCTCTCAGTCTGCGTGCAGAGCTGGCGGCAGCCGAGCCCGGAGCCCCTCTTCCAGCGCCTGCCTCTGCCAGAGCTCCTGCCTGCCCGGGGAGCCCCGTCCCTCCCGGCGCCCGGCGGGGACACGGAGTGCTCACGCTTCTTCCTCTTCTTCTTCCGCTTCGTCTTCTTCTTCATCCTGATCTGCGTCGTGCGCTCCGTGTACATCCTGGGAGCTGCTCTCCCCTACCCCCTCCTCAGCCACTCCGCCGTCTGCCTGCTCATCTACTTCTCCATCTACCTGATCTACAATTTCTGGTATTTATGAGGGCCAGGGGGCCGCGGGGCTCCTCTTCCTCCGCGCCCTGCCCGGCTTCGTGTGATGGGGCGCCGCGCGAGTGCGCCCGGGCGTCTCGGCGTGTCGCTCAGCTGAGCCCCGGCGCCCGCGCCGTGCTGCTGGACCCCTGCGCTCTGCCCCAGTGACGGGGAGCAGCCCCTTCCCTCCGCCGGCACCAGGAGGGAGACGAGCCGCGCGCGCGGAGCAGATCCCAGGTGTCATCCCGTCCCTGCCAGTCCGGGATCGCGGGAGTGGGGGGGTGAGTCGGGAGCGGCCCGCCGGCGGGGGCAGGCTGCTGTCGGACACGTCCTCCTGCCCGAGCCTCGTCCGCGCCGCGGAACCACCGGCGCCGCACTCTGCTCCGGCACGGGCTTGCCTCTCGTTTTCCCATCGCTCCCGAGGAAATCGTCGAGAGAATCGGAGCCAAAACGCCGACCCGAATCCCGCAGCTCCGTGCTCTCCGGAGATCGGGCACTTCCACACGCACACGCACACGGGCTCCGTGTGACCGATCGATAACTCCACTGGACCCAACTGTGGAGCCGCGCTCCCGGAGAATTTCCATCCGGGCTGGAATAGTCGCGGAGCAGCCCAGCGCCCCGATTCCTCCTCTCCCCGGGAATCTGACATTCCAGGTGAGCCCCCCTTCTGCCCACAGCAGCCAGCTCTCCCCCGGCCAGTCGTTACTGGCACGCTTCTTTATATAATGTCAATTTGCATGTGTGTATCAGAGTGTGTGTGTGTGCGAGGCTGAGTTTGTGGGATGCGTGCGTGGGTGTTGTATTAGAATTCTGCTGTTATCTTTCGGGATCTGAGTGTCGTCCACGTCTGCCTGTCTGTCTCCTCCGCCTGGCCGACGACCTGCAGTTTTTCCCATCTTCTCTCCCTCGTGCTCCAGACACAAAGACGTATGTATGAGTGTCTGTTCGGTGTCTTTCTCCCTCCCTGCGCTTGTGTCTGTGTCTGATTTCGTTCCCATTCCTCACAGCCCCGGTGCCCTGAAGCGTGTTCTAGACAGTTCTGCTGTCGTTCAGCAGCAGTCTGTCCGGACCAGCGCCGCTGGTGCTTGACGTACCCCAGTCAGAGGTCCGTTCAGCGGGCTCTGCTTTCCGGCTTCGGCAAGTGGCCAGAGCTAATTGAACGCCACCATTCCCATGATTCACAGCCACCGCTTGCTCCTAAAAGCCGCCATGTTCCTGAGCGGTGCCCCCTGTGAGGCGCCTGTGTGTCTGTGACAAGCCAACTGTTGATGCAGTCACCTCGCCTGGTCCCATCATGCACTGGCCTGCCGCTCCACCGGCTCCGTGCCAGGAGTCGAGCCCTGCCCGTTGCCCCGTGCCCTCCAGCGCCACCCGGGCCTGGAGTACGGCGCGGCCTGCCAGCGGGCATGGTCTAGTGTTCCACACGCCTGTGCTGCGGCGCCGGCGCTGTGCGCCTCTCTGTAAGCACCAGAGACCTACTTCTGTCTTCCGGAGGTCGGCTGTCCCTGTGGCTGACTGGGTGTCCTATATTGTGGGCAGAGGGAGGGCTGTGGCTCTCTATTAAATATAGAAGGTGAAATCTGGTGCCCTGTGGAGATGTTAATATTTAATCTTTCGGGGGAAGGGGAGTGTGTGTGGGGCGTGTGGGTGTCTGCGCGTGAGCGTCTCTGTCATACGGGCTGCTGCTCGCACTCCTGCGGCCCTCACAGTACCTGGAAGGGGCTCTGGTTTTTCAGTGCGATGGAATATATCATTTATGGCGCTGCTGGCGTGATTAAAATTCTCATCACAATCTGTCCACGCCGGAGAGAGCTGAGAGCAGATTCCCCCACACGAACCCAGCCAGCCAGCCGGGCTCCTCAGGAACCCGCTCCTGTGCGAACACAGCGGCTGGACGATCTGTCCGGAGAGCACTCGCTCCCTGTGGGCTCAGCCCGCTGACCGCTGGGCACGGGCTGGGCACGGGCTGGTCACGGGCTGGTCACGGGCTGGGCAGGGGCTGGGCACGGGCTGGGCAGGGGCTGGGCGTGGGCTGGGTGTGAGCTGGGCACGAGCTGGGCACGGGCTGGGTGTGAGCTGCGCACGAGCTGGGTAGGGGCTGGGTGTGAGCTGGGCACGAGCTGGGCGTGAGCTGGGTAGTGGCTGGGCGTGAGCTGGGTCTGAGTTTTGCACGAGCTGGGCGTGAGCTGGGCAGGGGCTGGGCGTGAGCTGGGTCTGAGCTGGGCACGAGCTGGGTGTGAGCTGGGCGTGAGCTGGGCAGGGGCTGGGTGTGAGCTGGGCGTGAGCTGGGCGGGGGCTGGGCGTGAGCTGGGCAGGGGCTGGGTGTGAGCTGGGCAGGGGCTGGGTGTGAGCTGGGCGTGAGCTGGGCAGGGGCTGGGTGTGAGCTGGGCGTGAGCTGGGCAGGGGCTGGGCAGGGGCTGGGTGTGAGCTGGGCGTGAGCTGGGCAGGGGCTGGGTGTGTGCTGGGCGTGAGCTGGGCAGGGGCTGGGTGTGTGCTGGGCGTGAGCTGGGCACAAGCTGGGCGTGAGCTTGGTAGGGGCTGGGTGTGAGCTGGGCAGGGGCTGGGCGTGAGCTGGGCAGGGGCTGGGCGTGAGCTGGGTCTGAGTTTTGCACGAACTGGGCACGAGCTGGGCGGGGGCTGGGCGAGATCTGAGTGGGGGATGGGAGTGAGCTGGGCAGGGGCTGGGTGTGAGCTGGGCGTGAGCTGGGCAGGGGCTGGGCGTGAGCTGGGTGTGAGTTCCAGGTCATTTTCCAGAAGGGTATTTGCCTGCATTAACTCTTCACCGTGTCAGTGTCAGGAAACGGGGCCGCAGCGCTCAGGGCTGAAGGCTGAGAGAGGGCTCCTGTTCCCCTCTTCAGAGCGCTGACAGGACTCCCTGTCCCTGACACCACTCCCTGCCCCTCTCTCTCCTGTCTCTTCACTCCTGTGTCTCCTGTCCCTCAGTGTGTCCTTCTCTCCCATCTG